CGGAGATTACCGCGGACAGAGTCATTAGCAGCGTCGGCTTCTGTGTCGGCCAAGATATTCTCTCACTTTCCTCCCCTACCGTCCCAGTGCTGCTTTCTCCCCCTGCTCGTCTCACCGTCCATTCGTTCGTCGCGTCGCGTCGCGTCGTGTGGTTTTATCTGGCTGGTCAATTCACGCGGCACGATACACACACACACACACACACACACCGGACCACTCTTCAGATCCTACCACTTACTTTCCTCCGACCATCTTCTATTCCCTCTTTTCTCTCTTCCCCTCTTCTCCCTTTCTCTTTCTCACTAGGCTTGCCTCGCGATACTGGCCTCCTCCCCTTTCTTCTCTCGTGAACCGTGTCCTCCTGCCATCATCTTTCCTTTTTATCCCTCTTTTGCCGACATATTCTACGAGCAGAATGTACCGCGAAAGACGCGCATTCGCCGCGCTCGAGTGAGTCCAGATTAGAGTCCGGAGAAATACTAATTGCTCCGATCGGCGTTCGCACATATTTTCCACGGCGCCAGAGGCGTGTCGAGGCCGAAGGTCCACGAGAAACGAGATAGTGACGAGGGGGACCGCCAGGGCGTCGCGCGAGGGACCGGAAGGGAGACTAATGCCGGTAGTGGCGGTAACAGTGGCGAGAGAAAGAGAAAAAAAAAGATAAAGAAAAACATTCTGCTTTGATAGGCTAATGACAAACGCCTAGATTGCCGGCTTATCACTCGGCCAGCGCTAATTATTTCCCCTTTGTACCGCGCCGCGCATAATGGCGTCCGTGCAGAAATGAGCGAGGACTCTCTCTTCCTCTCCCTCCCCCTCTCCCTCTCCCTCTCCCTCTCTACGTGTGCCGTACTAATTTATACGCACGACGGCGTGTCGGCGAATTTTATTTGTTACTATTATACATGTGGTGGCAGCAAACGTGAATTTCTCACTGCAGATTGACGTTGTACGTTACGATCAGTCTCTTCACTCAAGTCTACGCACTCCAGTGATTATCGACACGGTGGACCTTTGGCCCCTGAGTTCCTCTTCCCTTCTTCCGCTCTTTTCATCCAGATGTCTGTTGACGATTTCTGTTTTTTCCCTCTATGTATATACACGTCCAACGTATGTACCAACATAGTTGAATGCAAACTTCCGTTTGCACGAATAATCGCTGCATATTATTCCTGAATATTCCGTAGTTTTTCTGTACTTTTTAATTCTTCTGTCTTATCATCGTGAAGTCAATTAATTTAGAGATATCAAATTCAGAAGAATGACAGAATTTCGATAAAAATACACGAATTATATAATATTAATCGTTAGAATTTGATCAGAAATTATGATATAAAAGCTTTATTTCTCAGGTAATTTTAGTTTCAGTAAATTTTTAACTCTTTTTACGAACAGAATTGACAGATTTTCATCTTGACTGATATTCTTATATGAAAAATCTTCTCTAATATATGAAAATGATTTTTATGAAATAAATATTTCTGGGGCTCCCTTGCCTACATGGACATATCGGTATAATGCTGCAATATATTGCTAAGAAGCAGTTTCGAGAATTTCAACTTAACGCTATTAAGAACTTTCCTCAGCACCGGAAACTTTCCTAGGGGATAATTTACCCCCTACTTTGAAGAGTCATGATTCTTAGCCATGCCCACTTGCTCTCCCGTTTATCGACGGCAATTTGTGATTCGTTAAAAGACATGTTACATTCGTATCCACTTTTCAAACGTTTTCCAACTGCGAAAGTTCTCTCTTCAAGCGTACGATAATTACCCGGATTACGTGAGGGAAGCATTTGACGTATAAATAGATTTATCAGCCAACGAGGATACCTACGTACTTTCGTTCATTCGTTCTTTGTCAATGATAAGAATGTTCTTAGCAATCTTGTTAGTTGCCGTTCGTACCGTGAAGTGAGATGCTGTAAGCGATATCTGCATAAAAAGAAGAAAAATGCAGTCGACGCGGACAGATATATGACGGAATGATAAAAAATATAGAAAAAAGTGAAAACGGAAAACTATGTCAGTACCTGGCGTCGAAATTGGAATCAAATGTATTTTTTAAATCGCGTTTTCTGATTGTTTTCTTCCCTCGTTGAAAACTCATTCTGCCGATACAATTCAAGCTTTTTGCCGATATCGTGAACAATATTATTAAAGTATTAATCTCGAGTTAGTCTAGAAACCTAAACAGACATGCCAAGAATCATTCGCGGAAGCCTTACATTTTTTGCAGTATTCTGTAATTAACTACAAAGGCTAAATCTTTATACAATAATACGAAAATAATAATAAATATCGCTTTTGAAGATATATCAACATGTATTATGTATACTGTATTTTAATCTTCTCTAAATTTTATTTTTAAAAAAGTTTGGAATTGTCACAAATTCATAAAAAGATCTGTCAATTAAAGTAAATGCGTAGACATCTTATATGTATATTATTCTATATTTTATTATTATTATATATTATAACAATAAAATGCAGTCAAATTAAAGAAATATTTTATTTACATTTATAATATTTAATAGATTAACATATTATCTTTATTGTGAAGAAATGGCTTCACAGTAGAGAAAGCAGCTGTGCAATTGTTGGAAAATTCTTTACACATACAATATGAGTGATTTATATTTAGATCCATAAAGAACCAAAATTCTTCAATACGATTGGTTTTTGCTTTGGTTCTTTATGTGTGTGTAAAGAATTTTCCAACAGTTGCACAGCTGCTTTCTCTGCTGTGAACGCAGTCATTTCTTCACAATAAAGACAATATGTCAAATATTATAAATGTAAATGAAATATTTCTTTACCTGGACTGCATTTTATTGTTATAACGTAACATATGATACATCTTTTTATGAATTTGTGACAATTTCAAACTTTTTAAAAAATAAAATTTAGAAAAGATTAAAAAACAGTACAGTATATATTGATATATCTTCAAAAGGGATATTATTTATACCTTTTGTATTATTGTATAATGATTTATAAAATACATTAACAATATTATATAAAAATTTGGCCTTCATAATTAATTACAGAATGCTGCAAAAAAATGTATGGTTTCCGCGAACGATTCTTGGCATGTCTGTTTAGGTTTCTAGACTAACTCGGCATTAATACTGTAATAATATTATTCGGTAAAAAGCTTAGATCGAAGTACCACCTTATTCTATATCTTTTTAAGAAATTCATAAAAATAATGCAAAATATTTTATTGTTTGCCCCAAGCTATCGAGTCCGATTTAAGAATGCGCAAGCCACAATTAACAATAATGAACTTGAATAATAAATATTTCTTTTAATGAGCGTGAAGATTCTTCTCGATTCAGCAGAAACATTACACGATCTCTGTACGGCGCGATAATGAATGATCCGCTTAAAATTAATCTTGCTTCTTCTGTATGATATAATCACGATATACGGATGATAAGCGCGGCAGCATTGATACATTTTATTTGGCCATTTTAATGGCAGCAGGACTGCGGATTGAATTAATAAATGAATTCGATTGTGCCCGACAGAACGATCGATATCTAGAATACGACCGGCCATGTTTCGGAGCCTATCGATCATTATATACGTATGTGCTGCATAACTAGCGTATAAATTATGCGGATGACGATCCAGGTCGACGCCATCGATAGCGGGTGGATACGGATCGGAATTGACCCGTTACAGATGCGAGAGAATCCATCTTTGTGAATTCGACGGCGGAATCGAGTGATGACACAGGCGACTTCCGCTTATCGATCCGCGTTCACGTCGCGCACGATAATTTGCTCGTTACCGTTCATGTATTAATCTCTTTCTCTCTCTCTCTCTTTCTCTCTCTCTCTCTCTCTCTTTCTCTCTCTCTGAGTTTGCCCTTTTCGTTTTGCGTGTCGGAATATTCTGAACAGCCTTTCGGATCGTATAATAAAAGCAACGCGAGCACAGGCAAATTTGCTCCGGACGCGACGTGAGTTTCGCGAACGACTCGCACGTGCATATTCGCATCCATTTAGGAAGATCGATGGATGTACGCCATGTAACGCAAGCTTTTTTTAAATCGCAGGATAAGGTCAATAAATTATCGTAATCAGTAAGTTCGTCCTTTCGATAATTTAACAAATTATTTAGATGAACAGTAATTTGGCGATAGGCGCGATGGAAACGTGCATATCGTTGCAGATAAATACATATACTATTTTGTTATAAATAAAACTATTTCATAAAATCAATTATATATAAGGGCTAATGAAATATTTTTAACAAATAATCATGTTTTCAAATATTAACGTAAAGATGTAATCGCGATCGTCATCGTTATAGCAGCGATAAAAGCTCGCTCGGAAAGCTCGATTGCATTTGCAGACTTTGTATCGATCAGCTCGGCATGATGCATCAGTGTAATAGCCGCTTTGCCAAGCTCATGCTTTCTTGGCCCGCACGGAACTTTATGAAATACTTGCACGAAGATTAATTAACCTGAGAGAAAGAGTAACGTGCCGACGCACGCTCTCTGATTGTGTGATTAACGGCAACACCTTCTTGACACTTTTTCTAATCTGACGTATCTCTATATTTTTCTTCGTGCAAAATCGCTCTCTCGTGTCTCGCGTTAATTTTGTTTCTTAATTTTGCGCCATGCCGTAGCCCGTAGATCACTTTCAGACCACGCTCGCGATGGCTAATCACGAGACTTTTGAGTCTTCCGCGACTTGTGTGCTCGCTAAATGGAACGCTTCGAACATGTTGTTCATGAGAACGAAAAGAATTCCACTTCGTATAAAACTCGACATTTGAAAAAGTGTAGAGAAATGTACTTGATTCGTGTTGTATTTTCTCTTGTCTTGACTTGACTCTAAAATTATCCATTGCATATATAATTGATAGCATCATCGAGTAATTGGTCCGACAGTATGAGAGAAGCGAAATAATTGCAAACGTTCTTTGCCAATGCTAACCTAAAACAATCTGTCCCAATGTATGATCCCTTTCTTATTGCAGACGATACTGAACTCGATGCACAAGTATCAGCCGAGGTTTCACCTCGTGCGAGCCAATGATATCCTGAAACTTCCGTATTCGACATTCAGGAGTTATGTTTTTAAGGAGACGGAATTCATTGCCGTGACGGCCTATCAAAATGAAAAGGTAAGTGACCCCTGAATTACTCAAACACATCCATATGTAAAAGAGATTTAAATTAATTTCGAAACATTAAAATGCAATTTTTCGGGGAAATTGAAGAACGTAGACTTGGTTACTTTCTAATGTTTAAAACTGCTGTAGACTAAGCGCAGAAATATAATCCGTTTTTTTTTATATGTCAAAAATTCATCATCTTATCGCAGAGGAAATGTAAAGCTCACACGCGGCGGCGAGAATTCATTAGAAAGGAACAATCTCGCGTTACGATCTGACAGAGCGGGCCGTTTTGGTTTCTGACCTTCTGTTAATTAATATTTCTCCGCGTTCTTGTGCCTTGATAAAGTCATGGATGCGAGAATCATTTCGTGGAATAACATCTTCTCGGTACGCATTATTTTCAGTGAATGAATTGCTTACACGCACGTGGCCATAAGAAGAGACCGGGCCTTGTATAGATTTTTGGTAGGTCGGTTATATACTCGGCTAATACACTCCTATCTTAATTATCGCGCCTTCTCGGTATAAGAAGTAAAGCGAAAAAGTATATTAGCTCAAGAGTCTACAGGTCTATTAAATCCGACTTATAACGAAAGATTGTTTAATTTGCAAACTTGTTTTTAATCCATGTTCAAATATATTTATTTTGTTTGCAGATTACCCAACTGAAGATCGATAACAACCCCTTTGCGAAAGGATTTCGAGATACTGGTGCGGGGAAGCGCGAGAAAAAGTGAGTATCGCTTTCAAAACTGCACTATATAAACGCGGTATATTTTTTAACACTTTCCTGAAATTAAAACAAACTTTTACGAAATTAAAACAACCTCGAACCTACGTCGAAATATACAAATATTTTCCTATATATGTATGTGTGTTTCTAAAAGAGTTATTTAGTTTTAGTTCGCTCTGTAACAGTTTCATGAGAGGTTTATTTATGAAAATTTCTGAAAATCATATAATACTTATAATCAGGAAAGAATTAAAAAAAATTAGTAAACTAAGTTATCTTTAGCGAGTATCCTATGATGAAGATCGTACGACTCGGAATCTACGTTAATGTACAACGGATTAAAAACTACCCTAAATGCAAAGCAGACGTACCCTCTCTTTGAATCGCGTTTTGTGATGAGCAAAGAGCGCGAATCTGTCTTCGGGGTCGACCTAATTGATCGTAGACCTTTCGAGCTTCCCCTCGATCGGCGCTATTATGCCGACCTTAGGGTCACCCCCTGAGCTAAGGGTTGGTTTCACAGGGCTCATTTGCACTCCGCATCGCCGGCAGTGCCGTCCATTTATATTCAATATTGCGGGTTTATGAGCTTATGTCAGCGAACAATCTCTCGGAGGGGATGCTGTGTGTCGTTCGTCGTTGCCGTGGACCAGGCTGCTATGGAAACTCATTTCCAATCCAATAGGTCGCGGGGTGAAAACTCGAGTAGATTTTGATGAAATCAAGTCGCTATGCATAACAATTTTAAGCTGTTTCTTCTTATATCATTTAACAATTCTTATGATTTTTTTAACGAAAGAAAATATTCTGTCTATGATGTCGGCATGTCTCGTATTGAGAAACGCATTAGGTATATTACGCGAGAAGACGAAAAAAAAAGTGATGCAAGCCACGGGTCAGAAAATTTTCGGAAAATTGCGGCAGTCTGCGACGTCGAGCGGATAAAGAAAGGGCCAGGTTAATCGAGAAAATATGCAAAGCAGGGGGCGCGTCGCCGCGGCACCGCCTAATTAGAATAAGGGTTAGTTTTGGCTTATGGTTTCGGTTAAGGGTGGTTGGATGCCATCAGGAAGCCACAGGGAAACCGGAAAGAGAGAAAGAGACAGGGCACGGGCAGAGAAACACCAGCAGAAAGAGACCGCGAGAGAAAGAGAGTGGCACAGTGAGAGAGGGATCGGGGTTGGAACATAGCCAATCATCGGATTAGCATACTGATGCTCAGGGGCGGCGCTATCGTTAACGTGGAGGGTGCCACTCTTGACGGCTTTGAATTTTATATTGGTCCTACAGATCGTTTTGTGGCTGTACAAAGACTGCGCTTCGAGAGCTTCGATCTTCTAATGTAAGCGCGAAATCTCTTTCCTCGATCCCATGGGTTATTTTTTTTTTTTTTTATATATATCTTTGGTTGCATAGAGTTATATAATTGTATACAATCATATTCTTATAAATAGGACTTGAAAAAGCCCACACAGCATACTTTATCCGAGGGATAGAATTGTTCTTAGAACTCTTTAGGACATTTCTTGGAAGTCTGTACTCTATGGGAGTGCACTATTTTCTCAGATTTTTTTCAAGCCCTTTGAAAAACACAATTGTCTCTCAGCGATCCAAGTGATTTAAGTGATAAAGTTCAAGGTAGTCTGCGGAGAGTTAATTGAGAGCTAAGAAAAAGTAAGTAGACTAAAAAAATAGGGAAGATGCTATGTAACCGTGAATATATATGTAGCTAAGACAGGCTCTCTTATCGGAATTTAATCGCTACGTGATAATTTAAGCGAAATATCCCTCGATTAGTATAGAGAGATATAAAGTAACTGCGTGACTATACTCAAATAAAATCACTGTACTCGATACGCGATAGAGTTAAACGACCCTGACAGCCGGCGCATTGTTTCGTTAATTTTTTAACAACGCGCGACGCGGCGTTTCGTCACGAGATGTAACGCCACTCGAGCGTGACGAGTTGATTCGCTACGCCGCTTTAAAAAAGAAAAAAAGGAAAAAAAAAGGAGGGAGAAAAAGAAGGAAGGAACCGCTCCAGTGCGGCGAGTTGTCACGTCATTTATCATCATACACACCGCGGAAAGATCGTATTTAGCGATATGCGTGGTGTGCGGATTAACCCGTTCGCTCGTGAAACTCCCACGATCGTGCGTTAATACGTACAGTACAACACGAGTAATGTATGTATATTTCCTGGCGGTCCATTAGCGCAGATATTAAATTAATAGCTGTTACGTTTACCATTGTCTCCGGGGGAGATTAATTTTCGCGATTGGTTACGTATCGCAAACGTCTTCTGATTAATAAGCAAACCAAGCAAGGCGTGCCGAGAAATCTGGATGAAGCCGTCGAATTTCACTTAACTTTTGCAGTTAATTATCCGCAGAGCATAAATCATTCTTCGATATTACAACAAAGCGTTCTTATTAGATACATATAATTACAGCCAAACTAGGCTTCATCCCCGATTTTTATTGATCTTATATGTTATATCTGGATAATATTAAAAACATCATGGATGACACACAACTAACAGTTTAAATCTCCTTATTTTTCGATATAATCAACAGTCGTATTTCTTATCGTACAATCTTGCAATTTCTCTATTTTCATTTATGACCAAACTGTCATTTGCTAATTTACTCGATCACATATTTGCGAAGATATGTTGGTGAATGGAAGGTTTATCTTTCCCACGAAGTCATTCTTTTAGACAACGATATAAGCTATAAGCTTTCCGAGACCTCTGCAATTCCTCCCATAATCGCACCAAATCGAAATACTCGATTCCGCAACCTAATACAGAATTAATTGGCGCACACGGATCCTTTCAGCGGGCTCGAACAAAATTTCCTGGAACGCTCCTAATCACGCAAAGGAAACTCGATGGTACGTTACCGTCGACAATCGAGTCGAATGACGGGCCGGGGTTATGGAGGCGCGGGAAAGGCAAGAGGGCTGGGGCAAATCTAATGCATCGTCTCGTGCAGGCAGAACAAACCTAAACCTCGTGTAAGTCTCGGCTATAGCCATTCGCACAACGAGAGGCTTACCGGTGTCTTAATACCATGTAATGCGATCAGTTCACCAACACAGAAACGTGCGCTTTTGCTCGCTCGCTCGCCCGAGGTGCATCCGCTTCGCGCACGCTCCTTCTCGTGGATGCATCCGTGACATGCACTCGTTGCAGTCCCGAAAGGGTGTACAGACTCTCTGGTTTCTATACATAAGTGCGAGAGTACGCCAAATCAATAATCCGTGCACTCGGTATAGAACTTTCGAGCAAGGTACGTGTATACGTCCCTCTTCGTCCTGGACTGGTAGGGTTTTTACCATCCGTCCTCTCTCTTTTCCTCGAACAACCCATCTCCTCTCTTTCTTTCTTAGGGCATTCGGGGGACGTTCGGAAAGATTTGAGAGAATCGTTCGATTCACCGATTGACAATCTTTTCCTTTCTTTGCTTCTGTATTTTAATTAATTTTAGAAATAAGCTGAACGAATAAAAAGAATTAATTAACGTAAATTAATCAGAAATCATGAAATCCGCGCGACACGATTTCCGCGCTCGATTTCTCTTATGTAAAAGGCTATCCGTGTGTAACGCAACTCGATAAATCGTGAGCCAAGATTACGCGAGCTTCGCGAAGATCGGGCGAAAGAAACACGTTGCCCTGGGGAGTCAGCGAATAGATCAGTGTGTCGTGAATCGATACGGTATCGCCACAGCATCGATGAAAAATGATCGTGACTCCGACTCGGGTGTGCAGGCGGCCCCGACGTCAGCGCGATAAATCACTCTCGATTCCGCGCATCTATAAGCTCGCGATTCACGGAAAAAAAAAAAAAAAAAAAATATTCTCTGCGTCGCGCAATGTAATCGTGCCGCGCGCGTATATCTTGAGGGTTCTATCGACACGCCGCTCATTTATACGAGCCGCTTGCAAGTACGCACGCACACAGAGGCGCGAATTGCAGCACACGAGCTCTCGCTCGTCTGTTTATAAGTGCAAATAGCCGCGAGTGGCATAAAGTTAAGCGCACGTGAAGGCAACGCGCGAGCGAGCGAGCGAACGTTAGACACTTGCCGCATAGGAAAGGCGTTGAAGGCGCAATTAAGATAATTAATCTAATACCACGGCCGCGCCTCCAGGCAATACAGCTACCGACGCTCACATAAATCCCTGGGCTTCGTTTATTGCATCGCGCCGACGCGACGCTGGGCTCTGCTCCGCGCTCAGGCTCGTCGGGGCCTTTTGATTTTCTTCGACACAATAAATACCTCACCTCTCTATCTCCCGGAATCGCGATCGCATTGATCGCCTCTTGTTCTCCTCGCACGCGCAACGATCGATGCATGTCGTTGTCGAGTCGACGATATTTCATTCGCGTGAATATCGGCGCTGCTATAAGATTTTCATAGATTCTCATTCAACTAATCATGATCGTGATTTTGAGATAACATTTACGCACATTCTGCGTGAAAATATTTCACAAAAATCGCACATTAATATTTATCAATGTAGGCGTGTTTGTCTTTGATAGAACTTGCATCGCATCTGTGTTCCATATTACGAATTGAAATTGTTATAGTTTGATAAACGATGAATATTGACCAAAAAAAAATAATAAGGTTCAAATTTAAAAAACAATAATTAGAAAGAAGAGTTAATGAGAATTAAATAGAATTAATATTACAGTTTATTAAAGATACATAATTTGAATCATAAATTAACCGCGTTAATCGTTTTATTTTATGCATGAGAACCGCGTTTAACTCTCACTAATAGAGTCTTTCTTTCTACTTATTATTAATTAATATCGATATACGTATATTGTATATGTTACGATCAATTATTATTCTGACTTTGTTATACTTCTTTATATGATTGCAATAGTTTGATGCAATTTTTTTCAGAATAAACATTATCGCGACTCACAATCAGTCTATTTGCAATTTCAGTTCTTTTTTATGCTGAATATCAATTCGCCAATAAATCAATTAGCACACATCAAGGATATCCTCGAGATATTGCGCTAATTGTACGTATATAGATAGAAACCACGATTAGTTCTCGCAATCTTCCGGATGAAGAGCCTTTTACTCGCTCGTCGTCCTCGCAATTTTTCGATTGAGACATACGCATAGGATATACTAACAAAACCACATCGAGATCCAGCGTGAACGATTTAACGTCGAAATTGCCACTGCCAAGAAGGGAAGTGACTTTATCACCGGCCCTCTCGTTATACTCTCAGAACCAATTACAGTGTGCCATAATCAATAGGTATTCGCGCGTCTCGAAAGATTGTCAGCTTTGCGAACGTCGATAAATCATATCGAAATAGGCGGAACCCATTTATCCGGTGGCCGTGTAGCTCTGCTAACGATTGATAACTCGCTAACCACGCCTTTCCATAAATCAATAATCAATCTGGAAACACAAAGGCAACGAGGTTCTTTGTAACACCGCGTTGCGACAACGTCGAGTTTATTTGTCTTAACGTACAACTTATTTTTCACAAAGATTTCTCGGGAGAAGTAATTAAGAGTGGAAAATGAACGTAACGCGCGAACCTCACAAGATTGCTAACTCCGCGTCGTTGTTGCAGAAGGCAGGCGCTATTGACAGTATCGGGCGGCGGTTCCCGTTTGACAGCGGGTGGACCAGCATCTCCGGACAAGCGGCGTTCGTCCAATTCCGCCACCGACCTCATGGACGACGAGGACAAGCTGCTGGATGTGGTTGGACCCGATACCCCGCACCCAGCCCATCACCACCGGGAACGAGAACACTCTCGCGAGAGAGACGATCGAACGAGCGAACGAGGCGAGGGCAGCGAATCGTCCGGGTCTGAGAGCGGTGGCGGGCCAGGCCCAACGGGCTCTGAAGGTCCACGGCCGGATGTCTCGGTCGGACCACCGCTTCATCCGCCTCTTTTGCCGTATCTGTACCCGCCAGTGCCCGGACTCTATCCCGGTCCCGGTCCCCTGATACCACCCACTCCTCTTGGACTCCACGGCGGTGTCACCCCCGGTATGCTGTTTAACGCCCAGCTGGCCTTGGCGGCCCAGCATCCCCTCTTTGCACACTATCCTCATCCCCTGGCGAGTCCCCTGCATCAGCTCAAGGGACACAGATTCGCGCCCTATACACTCCCGGCGCCCTCGCATGGCTAGGCATTCGAGACCGTGAACCCCGCCGCCAACCGATTCGCCGACACCCACTGGTGGCGGTGCCCTCATCTCGACGACGCCCAGCTCCGCCGGTGAGCTCAAATCCATCGAGAACATGGTGAATGGCTTGCAGGAGAAGAGAAGGAGAAGTCCGAGTCTGACGCCCGGACATCGGGGCGACGACGCTGGCGGAGGGAGTCCGTGACAGGAGAACGAACCTGTGAGCAGCACCAAGGACGATGACCCTGATGAAGATGAGAACGAGGATTGCGCCGACGAATCCGGCGGCGACCCGGAGGACCTTTCCGCCGACGAGAGGGAGCCGGACTCCACGTCGGAGCCGTCGTAGCGGCGGGAACGTTCGCTTGTCGGCATTCGGTTCTCCCTCTCTCTTCCTCGTCCTATTCGGGGGTCCTGGCCGTACCAGATGAGTGTGAGGAAGGCCAGACTCTTATACTACAAAGTGCAATTTTATTTCCGGAGTGGCGCCGCGACTCGAAAAGTCGTTTTCGCGAGCGAGTGCGGCGCCCTTCGTGCTTTCGGGACTGAACAAGGAGTCCCGCGTGTTTCCTGTATCTGTAAATAAACCTACGTGAGAGTATGATATCGCGCGCGCATTAGGAGTGTGTGGGATCTCTGTTAGGACCGCGAGGCGGAATGCGTTGGACTCTCGATGAATGCTGCGCCGATCGCGCGTTGATGTAAATTAGGTGAGACGCGAGAATGAATGCGATGAGGAAAAAATGAATGTGTGTATGTGTGTATGAGAGAGAGAACGAAAAAAAGGGTAAGAGTCTACGAGCGCGTACCTGTGTCCCGTGTGAGTCTACGTTCTACCTGTGTACGTTAAGTCTTAAAGGAACAGAGAACGATATTGCAATATAAGAGCACCTCCTACTATTTGCAGCCCCTGTACATATGTACCCTAGTGATATTATATATATATATATATATATATCTGTACTAATTATTAAATATTACATTATAACGATTAGAGAGACGTAAACGCATAAACGCACGATGCCCGATTTATGCCTCAAAAACGCAAAGAAAAAAAGAAAATCCCAAATCCGAAGAATTTCGGGGCCCGAATCGACGATCCATAGAGAAACACAGCGCGACGTGGCATAAACCGCTGATTGGTTCACCGAGGAATAGTGTCACTCTCGAATCCTTTCATTCTCGAAATTCCACGTCGCCCGGAGACTCGCGTCCTTTGACCGTGCGTCGAAAGATAAAACCATTGCGTCGGTAAAATAAAGCGGTAGGTGATCAGCTTTTTATTTGTTTACTCGAACGTCACGCACGACAAATCACACATATCTTCTTTCTTTTTAATGTCTTTTACTTTTTTAATTTCTTTTATGAGGAAGAAGCTCATCATTTCCTTTTTATTAGTAGATTGGAGTACGTCGAGCTTGCAATTGACAATATTTTTCTGTTTCATAATTATTGAGAAACGAGACTTGTTAAAAATGATATTTTATTTTTACATTGTTATAAAGTATTTCACATAACGTTACAAGTTGAATTTATTTCTTTAAAATTTCTTTTTAATTTGAAAAATGAGGCAAATCGAGATTTTATTTTACGGTAGTTGCTCAAGACTCTCGATTACCGAATTATAGCATGCGATCGGAATCTTACCGCGCTGACTAAAAATCCGAGCCGACCTGCAATTTGTATAAAATAGTGGCGATCGGTGTAAATAATTATTAAACGTGTAATAAAAATGTCGAGTAAATTCGCAATCAACTCACGCGAGTCACTTTAGGGAACAGAGGGATTCGCTATCGCGAATGCTGCACGTAACACAATAGAGGCGGTCTAAAGAGAAAAACCTGACGTCCGGGATGGGAGATAACGGTGATTTATTAAGGCGAAATCGCGCAATGTCCGCGGGAGAACGTAACGTGTTTTTTTTCCTCTTTTCTTTTCTTTTTTTTTTTTAAGGAACGTCTCCGAGAATGGGATTCTCCCGTGATGTCCGAGAATGGGAGGCCGTTATCGTTTGCACGCACTGCGATAATACGAATGCGCTGCACGTCCGCACGTTGCACGATCGCAGGGACAATCGAAAGATCGACTCGCTACCTGACGCAATACACCTTGGCGTTTAACATCGATCATCTCATTGTGCAATCGATGATCGGCTTCTTACTCGTATTCTAAAGCATTTTATCGTAATTCGACTAATCCCTGTTACGTTTCCTATACGCGTTTTCGATCCTGTAGCGTCGAGTATCGTAAAATGAGAAAGGCACGAGTGGAACATCTAAGTTGATCTCTCGTTTACAAATAATTTGTTGCCGTTGTTCAATAATTGCAAAAAAGGTAAGTCTTCAACGACTATATGAAATAAATCAGTTGAATAAAATATCGAATACTACTATTGAATCATGATATATTATTTAGTAAACATATAAAAATAATCAATTTCACATGGCTGATATTTCTATAGTATTTATCAAGAATCAAAGTATTTCAAACTTCTTAGAGTGCGTATTAACTTTTAATATACATATATTAAATATATATAGTATATAACATTAAATATATATTTAATATAATATATATTTAGATAGCCAATTGACATTGATTTTGGTTTTTATAGAAACAGGATGCAAAAACATGAATAGAATGTGATATGACATTTTGATTATTGAACATCTATAATATTTGAATATATCGACTAAAACGAGAGATATATATCACACGTTGACTTTTTTCAAAGGCCTAATCAGCTTTGCTCCATTTTGCGATACCCGTTATAAGCGGACTAGCCTCGTCGTTGTACTAATATGTCTATATACATACATCCGAATCGATTACAAGGGAGCGAAGTGTTCTGAAATCTGAAAGCAATAATCGAGCAGAGCTGTGAGTATAACTATCGCGGATGAAACTAATCGGTTCGGCTGTTCTAAACTTTTGCGGTCGGCCAAGACTTCCATAAGTAAAAATCACTATTGGCAGGCACTTTGACTCAGTGCAAAATTCGCGACGAGAAAATTTTTGAGCGATTCAAAAATGAATTGTTCAAAAATCGTAGGTCACTTTAGAATCGTGTTATCGAACGGGTCCGACGATTATTGTTCATCATACTTTAAGCGAGAAGCCTATTCTATAATCTGATCAACGGAATGGCATACAGATTTTTTTATTTAATTAATATGTTGATCGGAGAACTTTTGTCATAGTGATATAACAAAATCGCCTTTAAAAATGGCGAGAGAAATATTTTCCATAAATCTTTATTACTTTATTTACTTGTTACTGATTACGCAGAACCCATAATTCGTTTACGCGTGTTGATTTTAATGAATCCTGTTCAGATATGACTGGCGAACGTTGTACATATATTTACTTTTATTCCAACTTGTTTATATTCAGCGCTAAATATGGTTCCCTCGGTCTCGAATTTCACTTACATGAAAAACTCAATCGATGCAAATGTGAGTTGGAAAATGCCATATTTAGCGCTAAACGTACAGTATGAAAACGAGCCAATGTTCCGGTGCGGAAGTAGAAACTGATCGATATGTACAGATATGCAATTGAACAGGCAAGTGGATGAAGAAGGCTTGTCACATTCTTACGCACGTTAAGTTATTTGTATGGATAAATGTTATTCTCTATTGTATCATACGTATCAGTAAGTAAAATGTATTATCAATTTAGTGCTGTGATGGTTCTTAGTGCAGTTAGCTTGCGGACACGAAGAGTCCATGTACAATATTAAATCACATTAATGCGAATTTTAATTTAACTTAACGCTAAAACCTGTCACGAGTCGTCATTATGTCGAAATATTTTCTTCGTCCATCTGCTCCTTCAATTTAATTCGATTGTTTGTTGATTACGATCGACAAGTCCGTTGTCTTTCGGAATTTTAAGACATAGCTACAGTCAAAGACTATCGCCCGATCGAAATCGCGTCTTAATTTCCTTGAATCTTCGGGAATTTGCTCAATCCCTCGCATAATTTTCGTGGCTTCCTTCGGAGCGTACGCACGGTCTTGTGCTCGAAGCGACGCGAGCATCATCGACGAGAAAATAGAAAAAGCAATAAAAAAAAATGATCATCAAAAAAAAAACGAAAAAGAAATTAAAGGAAGACCGAGTGATCCAGACATGGGCCACACGCGTCAAAAACTTAATATTTAATTTAACTTCTTAACACGAGAATCGTGATATTCCGTGACTTGTATTGTATATTGTACACTCCTTAGATTCTTTGTCCTCCGCCCCAACTCCATTTCCAACTTTGTCCCGTCATCAAAATCCTTCGCAAAATCCACGTGATTAAGAATTATATATATATATATCTCATTTCTCACGCTCCGATTAATAAATAAATTTAATTGCACGATGAACTTATCGTTGCACAGTTATATCGCGCGCGTGGGTATCTGCGCAAAATAGAGCCACAATGTTATTCCTTAACGAACTGATCCGCACTTTGCGCTGTTCGCTTATTGGCAGTGCGCTTATCAACTTCCGTGCAATTTTCTCCTTTACACTCCACACGAAACGTCAGTTGCGTCTATTGGATAAAACGTTTCTTAACATAAATTTTTAATACCTTTGTACACATTGTCCGTTAATAACTTTGACACTAATTCTAACAATAAGCAAATAAGTCAGGAATAGTAATTTCGCTTTGTTACCGTTGTAGGAAATCGGCTGTTTCATTCGAAATAGTCATCATGTAGAGGCTATTCCGTGTAGCCGAATAATTAGCATTAAACAGACGTTGTTTGTGTACGAATGTAACCAATCTGCTGATATGCGTCTTATACGCGGTTTAACGAAGAAACTTTTGATTCCGCCGCCTCTTTAATGAAAGAAACCGTTTTCGTTTTTTGCCAGAAAATAAGCGCGCAAGAACGCCAGAACTTCGGTGGCGCAGGAATTTTAATCTTTCGACCGATCGGTCGGACGATTGTAATAATTACCATTTGCTCGTGTGAAGATACGACGATGTGCTCTTTCTCGACCGCAAAATAAAGTAATGAAAATATGAGGGGCAGCGTGAACATTTTGAATTACGTATAAGGAAGTACATATAAATTTAATAAAAAAGAACAAGAATTTTGGTACGTCTATCTGCTTTGGATATTACTATAAGTTCATATTTTATGAATTTACCAAAAAAATTACAAAATTTATACGATAAAATTTATATTTTTATTCAAGTAATCTCGATATTTTTTTCGAAAAACTTATGTAGCTATATCAGACTCTTGACAATTGTGTTACACGAGAACATCGTGTTCTAGGAACAGTACAAATTGATGAGATATCGACGTAATTAGTGGCATGCATCTTTTTTTTTTTAATGAATGGTTTCCCCGATGAATTCGCATTTCCGTTATGCCACGGTGCAAAGGTAAATTCCGATGATTACGTAGATAAAAAGTTAATGAGTACGGCCTCGTTTGAAGCAAGCAAATTAAGAATTCCTTACAGCGAGACAATTAGGGGTATTACATAGGTAATTAGGCCGTGCATAAGTTTCACATTTCGTAACTCAAAACTGTTGTCGCTTTTACGTATCCCAAGTGCGACGTAACTCCCAAATGCGAATAATCATAATATTTCGCAGAAAGTCAGTTTTCGCACTCGGAAAGTCATGATTAAGTAAATAAAAATAAAAACGTAATGCCGAAATGCTGATAACAGAGTGAAATTGTTAGAGACTGTATTATTACGTTCTAAATTTAATTATTTTTATAAAATATATATTTGGCGCAGAATGCTGGCACATGGAAAAAACTAATTTCAAAGTTTTTCATCGTGGCTTTCGAACTATACGTATGGTTGTGTTTTCCTCGAATGCTCGTTCAAAGAAAATGAATTAATGGTGAGAAAAATTCCTTTTGTCAGCCACGTGTCTATAATTCCTGGTAATGTCGTTGCC